TTGACCCTCAGTTTCACCAATGGTTAGGCCATCCAGAGAAAAATTAAGCAGAGAAATATTAGAGCTAACAAACATTATAAACAAAATGGAGATATCTTAGGCCACACCTCTGACAGAAACCTTCTACCTCATCAGAGGCCAGGCCAGTTCCCTGAAAAGCAACCCACACCTTTGGCAGAAGTCTCCTACTCCACCAGAGGCCAGACCAGCATCCTAAACCCCAGAGACCAGGTCAGCCCCCTGAAAATCAAGCAGAAGGCCCTTATCACACCAAAAGCCAGGCAAGCATCCTGAACCCTAGAGAACACCTGACCAGACCAGAGGTCATGCACATAGCCTAAACTATAGCCCATAACTTAGACATCAAACCCCTGTTAGACCAGAGGCCATCCAGGCCATCAGAAGTCCAGTCCCCAACTTGGGCCAAGACCCACTTTTCAACCACAGGATACTCCAGCCAGAAGACAGGAGAGGAAGCAGAAAACAAGGAAGAAAACACCCGTGCAAGAAAGAGAGATGCAGAAATAGGTACTTACAGTTACTCCAAATCCAGATGCCTAAATGTTAGTGTAAGAACACAATCAACATCACCCAGAGCAACATGTCACCATCAGAGCCAGGCATCCCACTACAGCAAGCCCTGAATATTCAAACACAGCTGAAGCACAAAAACAAACAAATAAACAAAACAAAACAGGACAATAAAAAACAAAATAACCTTAGTAACAACTCTTGAAGGTGATTGAGGTTCTTGCAGAGGAAATGAATAAATCCCTGAAAGAAATAGAGTAAAAGACAATCAGAAAATTGAAGGAAATCAATAAATCCCTTAAAGAATATCAAGAAAGTCAAGAAAAACAAACAGTTGAAGGAAATGAATAAAACCTTTGAAGACCTGAAAAACGGACATAGAAGCAATAAAATGAACACAAACAGAGGGAATTCTGGAAATGGAAAATCTAGGTAAGAAGTACAGATGCAAGCATTACCAACAGAACACAAGAGATGGAAAAGAGAATCTCAGGCACTGAAGACAAATAGAAGAAATAGACAAATTGGTCAAAGAAAATGTTGAATCTAAAACATTCCTTAACAAAACATCCAGGATATATGGGACACTATGAAAAGACCAAACCTAAGAATAATATGAATAGAAGAATAAGAATAATAGCTCAAAAACCCCAAAAATATATTTAGCAAAATCGTAGACGAAAATTTTCTAAAATTCCTAAAGGACAAACCTATAAAACTTGCAGAATACCAAATAGATTGAACCAGAAAAGAAAGTCCCCTTACCTCATAATAATCAAAACACTAAACACACATAACAAAGATTATTAAAAAGCTGTAAGAGAAAAAGGCCAAGTAACATATAAAGGCAGACCTATTAGAATTACACTGACTTCTCAGTGGAGACTCTAAAAGCCAGAAGGGCCTGGACAGATTGCTTCAGACTCTACAAGACCACGGATGCCAGGCCAGACTACTACACCCAATAAAAATTTCAAACACCATAGATGGAGAAAACCAGGTATTTCATGATGAAATCAAATTTAAACAATATCTAGCCACAAATCCATCCCTACAGAAAGTAATATAGGAAAAATTCCAACCCAAGGAGGTTAACTACACATGAGAACATAGGCAATAGACACACCCGAGCATAACCCGAAGGAGGGAAACACACACACACACACACACACACACACACACACACACACACACACACACACACACACACAGAGGCACGTACACACAACAAAATAACAGGAATTAACAATCATTGGTCATTTATATCTCTCAGCACCAATGGTCTCAATTCACCAATAAAAAGACACAGGCTATCAAAAAGGCTGTGAAAACAAAATCCATCCTTCTGCTTCATATAAGAAACACACCTCAATTTCAAAGGTAGACATTACCTCAGAGAAAATGATTAGAGAAAGATATTCCCAATGGGCCTGAGAAGCAAGCTTGTGTAGCTATTCTAATATCTCATAAAATAGACTTCAAACCAAAGTTAATCAAAAGAGATGAGGAGGGACACTTCATACTCATCAAAGCACAAATAAACCAAGATGACATTTTAATTCTCAACTTCCATGTCCTAAACACAAGGGCACCCATATTTATCAAAGAAACATCACTAAAGATAATTCACACATTGACCCTCACACATTGATCGTGGGATACCTGCATACCTCACTCTCACCAATAGGTCACCCAGACAAACACTAAGCAGAGAAATAATGGAGCTAACAGACATTATGACTCAAATGGACCTAACAGATATCTACAGAACATTTCACCCAAACACAAAAGAATATCCCTTCTTCACAGACAAATTAACAAAGTCAGAAAAAAAATGGGGCCCTAACAACAGACAACCAGGGAATCCAAAGAATCAATTAGGTTGTACTTCAAAACTGGAAAATCTGAAAGAAATGGTAGGTACAAATTTCTTGATAGGTACCACTTGCCAAAGTTAAATCAAGATCAAATGAACAATTTAAATAGACCCATGAGCCCTAAGAAAATAGAAGCAGTCATTAAAAGTCTCCCAATCAAAAATAAATAAATAAATAAATAAATAAATAAATAAAGAAGAAGAAGCAGCAGCAGCTCAAGGCCAGACAATGTTAGTTCCTGTTGGGTTGCTATGTCCAACTTCAATATAATAAATAGCTTTGTTTCATCTTATTGTATTTTGTTTCATCATGTTTGGTTGTTGTTTCTTGGGAGCCCTTTCTTTTCTAATAAGAGACAGAAAGAGAATTGATTTGGAGGGGTTAGGAGATAGGGAGGAACTGAGAGGAGTGGAGAAAGGGAGAAACTATAATCAGGATATATTGTATAAAAAAAAAGAATCTATTTTCAATAAAAGAAAAGAAAATGTTGTAATATTAAAAAATAGGTCCAACCAAAAGAAGGAAGACCTCTAATCCAATGGTACTGTTATGCTCATTAAAAGGAAAAATTAGACAGCAGAGACATGCACAAACAGATAGAAAACAGCACAGATCAACAAGGTCAAAGCACACCAGCATCAGAAACAAGCAGAGCAGGATAGAGTTTCCAGATAAGCCAACTCTCATCTTGACTTTCACTTCTAGCCTTCAGAGCTATGGGATAGTAGTACATTTCTGGTGTTCTAAGCCACGTGCCTTGTACTTCTTGGTTACATCATCCTGAGAAAACTAATGTTTCTTCAGGGAGAAATAACTCATGGCTTCTTCCCCCAGGCACTGATACGATTTAGGATAGAATACAATCACAGTAAAGTTTGTGTTTAAGACAAATTCGCTCATCTGGTTCTTGAAGTTCTCCTTCCCAGTAATACACTGCAATAAAAATTCTTTGCAAACATCAGATTTTGGTTATCTGTATCTATACATAATATTAGATATATAATATTGCAGAAAGAACATTAAGCAACTAAGTATTAAAGGATAATTTGTGATACTCCATAATTAAAATAAACTTCTTCTAGAGTGTGGGTCCCTTTTATTTGCAAAACAACAAATTTGTATCCAAGAAGGAAAATAGTCTCAGGTCTGAGCAAAGGTGTTCCTGGGGGCTTTCATTAACACTCCATGGCACCTCAGCCTGCATAGTGCAAAGTGCACATATGATATACTCAGAACCCAGGCGCATGAAATAGCTCAAAGCAACATGGGCAAGCATTGAAAGAAATACTCAGATCTATTATATATTTGATTCTGAATTAATTACTGAATTAATTATTCTGAATTAATTATTGTTTCCCGAAGCCTTTTATTGTCAGAAGCCTTTTATTGTCACCTAATCTTTTACTAGCCTTACATTCTGTAATGGTAGCCCATCGGGAGTCTTGAACCACAGTTTTATGAAGCTGTGTCTTAGATGACTAGAACTCTAATGTTCTGGGCTAAAAATCTAGGGCCAAAATTAAATAGATTCAGCATTTTCCTAGGACACAGTAAGGCTCTTGAAGGAGATTAATCATAATGTACAAAGGTCTTGGACTACACTGAGAAGGCAGAGTAAGAGAGACTGGGAGAGGACAGAGAAAGGTTGCTTGGTTGGTGGGTTGGTTGGCTGATCCCTTGGTTAGTTGATGAGTTGATTGCTCCACTTACCTGGCATGGGCAAGGCCCTGGGTTTATCTCTAACACTGGAGGCAAGCAAGCTCCACTTGACAGACAACCCTGAAGGAGGACGGGAGGGTAGTTCTGTGTGGCTACAGTTATTCAGAATCTCTCTTTAGGCCACCTAACTCACATCAGTTTGGTGTTTCAGAACACATAGTGTTGGACAGAGGGAGGATGGATGAGTATTCATTGCCCTGGAAAGGAATTTGCCTCTCTGCATATTAAAGCAGTAGTGTCAACCAAAACTCCTTAAGTTTAGCAAGCATGGTATCATTGCAGAAACAAAAGTAACAGCTAATGCACAGCATTTGCTACATCCCCACTACTCCTCCATACTGAATATGCTGATTCACTGAACTCTCATGGTAAGTCCTGAGATGTAAGTGTGACTGTTGTTAGGCCTACTTTGTAAACAAGGAAATTGGAATTTTTTACCCTGGGGAAAGTTTTCAGCTAAGCTTTTAAATTTACTCCTTGGCTAGCAAATCTTTCCTTAACTCAGAGTTTGGGAATTTTATTTTGTCATGTTACCTTTAAAATTAGCACATATTAGTTATATGAAGTACTGAGTTTCAATATAATATAATACTTTTTATACATGCACACAATGTACTTTGATCACATTGAACCCTTCTAGTGCCCTCTCTTCCCTCCTCTCCTGCTTTCACACGCCCCCTTCTGCTTCCTTGTCCTCCTCCCTCTCAAGTTCACATTAAGAACAAATATTTGGTGCATGTCTTTGTGTGTCTGGTTTATTTCACATGCAGCACGATGGTCTCTAGTTTACTCTTTTATGCAAATAACATGATTTTATTCTTCTTGAAGGCTGACTAATATTCACACACACACCCCACATCACAGTTTCTTTACCTGCATCCAGGCAGCTGAAGCAGTCATACTAGCATACAAGGTAGACCATGCACTATGTCAGCAGCTCTGTGGAAAGCATAGTAATCATTTGTGAATTAGGATTTCAGTAAAGAATTAAAAAATATTATAAACATAATTGTATCTTTTTGGAGCAGTTATAAGCAAATGAGTCCCTACCATGGTCTGCTTAGCATTGACAAAGAACAGAATGCTATAAATTTGCTTGAGTATTTATGATATGCAAGTTACGTGCAACCCTGCGGTCATACTAACATGTTACTGTTTTTAGAAGAAGTATTATTGTCCTCAAAAGTCAGGTACTTCTGTATGCAAGCACTAGATATTCAAATTGCAAGTAACTAAAGCTATATCCACAGTTTAAGATGCAAGCATTCACATACTCCCAGGAATCACTGTAACTCTCTTTGTTGTTGTTACTGTTGTGGTGTCTTTGTTTGTTTGGCCTTGTACTCTCTACAAAGCTTAGGCTGTCCTCAAACTCACAGCAATCCTTCTGCTTCAGCTCCCCAGCACTGGAAATACAAGCATGTATTACCACCATGCCTTGTCTTTTTAAATATATGACTAAATGTTAAATTTGAGGTGGAGGTTGTGGCTAAAAGCACTTCCGGCTCTCCAGAGGACATATGCTTGGTTCCCAGCAGCCATGTTTGTGGCCCACAACCAACGATAACTCCAGTACTACCCTCTTCTGTCTCCTCCCAGCCAGCACACACGTGGTGTACAGTCATACAGACACAAACACGTAAGGAAATACAAATAAATCTTCTAAAAGTTAAACTTAAGGTGTTAACTTCTCTTTCATAGTTCTCCAGGTACTTAAAAGATGAACTGAAAAACCAATACCAGCAAAGTATAAAGTGCAATGTGATCATGCAGCATATAAGCCTCTACACTTAACCAACCTTTAACCTTTAACCAGCAAGGCTTATTTAAATTCTTGCTCTCATTAAAAAGTAAGATTGTTTGTTTCCTTGATTGGTTGGTTGGTTGGGTGGGTGGGTGGTTTTTTTTTGTTTGTTGTAAGAGCTAAGACCACTGAAGTTGGATAACCTTGGATAGTCTAGTGTCAATGTGAAATAAATAAATACGAATTAATCACAATCACAAGAATGAATAAGTAGAGTGAGAAAAATCATGTACTGCATGGCCATTGCCTCTGCATAAAGGACACTCTGACATAGTGGGGAGATAATTCAGCCAGTTAAGTGTTTCCTTTGTAAGCACAGAGACATGCATTTTATCGTCAGAGTTCACATTAAAAAAAAAATAATAATAAAGCTGGGCATGATGGTACATGCTTGCAAGCCTGGTGCAGGCAACTCAGAGAAACAGAAAATCGGTCTCTGGGGGATGTTGGCCAGTCATCATAGTCTACTTAGCAAGTCTCAGGCTAGTAAAAGAACTTGTCTCAAAAAGAAGGTGGTGTCCCCTGAAGAGCAACAACCACATCTGTCAACTGATCTCCATGGCACTCATCGACATGGGAACACACATTTGTATCCTCTGTAAATCTTGAGTCAACCAAAGGTGCAAGGTCATAGAACAGGCTGGGGAGTGACTCTCCAGCAGAGCAGAGTTGAGAAGGGGCACATCTTTGCCAACTGTCAACAAACATCTCTGCATAAATGTGGAAGCATAATTGCCTATTTTTAAAGCAAGAAGAATATCCGAACAAGGAATAAAATTTTGATTGAAACCTTATATACAGGCTGTTTCAGTTGCTGGTATGTATTAACTGCCTCCTTAGTAGTCTGCTTTCAGCCCTGCAAAAAGGAAGGAAACAACTTTAATTCCCTCTATGAGGAGAAAAACCTTTAATTGCCACCCCAGGAACGAGAGAGGAAGACACCAACAGCAAGTGGTACAAGTAGGGAGTCGAACAGCACCTGTTTGGACCACGAGCATCTGCTGACCATCCTCAGCAAGAGACAGAGAACAAGAAGAGCAGGAGTCTGGAGCCTGTAAAATAGGAGTTGGGGTGTATAGGTCTGAACTTCAGTGGCAGCATAACTATTTTTCTGAATTCATAAAAATTTCCACCAGGATAAGCAAGCATTTAAAAAGTAAGGTCCCACCAGGCGTTGGTGGCACACGCCTTTAATCCCAGCACTCGGGAGGCAGAAACAGGTGGATCTCTGTGAGTTCGAGACACCCTGTTCTACAAGAGCTAGTTCCAGCACATCCTCCAAAAGCCACAGAGAAACCCTGTCTTGAAAAACCAAAAATAAATAAATAAATAAATAAATAAATAAATAAATAAATGTAAGGTGCAAGGCACATTCCAGGACCATGTAAATATGTGTCCAGTTTCTCACTGCTTCTGCTGATGACAGCGGTACACACATTGGCCAAGCATCTGTAAAGTTTATGTTAACTGGGCTACAGAAAGTCTAGTAACAATACATGATTCAAACAATTAATGGGTAATAAAAGTCACTACCTCAGGATCACTACTGGTGGGTAGCACACTCATTCTTTCCAGAACTTTATGTTTGGTGTTGATGGAAGCCAAGGAGGCATGTTTCATCCTGAGTAATTTTGGGTGTGAGGGAATATGACAGTTGAGGGATAACCATTCCTTACATCTAGGGATCTGTTTGGGAGACAAGGAATTCACAGACCATCACAGGATCTGTCCACAGGAAAAAGGAAACAGTTTCTAAGGACTTTTGATCTTCAGAAGGAAAAAATAAGTTGCATGTTGGAGAGGAAAACAACCTAGAAAGTATGGCAAGTGGCAAGGACTGAGTGTCAAGGACCAAGCTGACTCAAGACACACTCGTTATTTCAAATCTCAAAAAGAAAGTTTAAAGCTGGACTGGTAGCATATTCTGTTAACAATTTAGCATGTGAAGCTTCCAGAAGACTGTCACTGTGCCTTTACATCAAATACACATAATTCCACTCAAACATCTGCATGTACTTGAATTTTTACAAGCAGTTTTAAGCAAACCTAGTGCTAAAATATATAAGGTTAATTTTATGACAAATTGCCATCCTGCAGCAGGGTAAAATAGAAGAGTCTGCTGCTCCCATTCTAGAATTAACCACATGGTCAGTTTCACTTATTAGGTGGACTGCTCCAAACTTTTCTGAAGATACAAGCTAGATTTATTCATCTTTGGGGATCCAGCACCTACTAATAATACTTCATATGTGGTCACCACTCAAAATATGTTGATTAATTAGCAAAATGTCCTTTGTAAGAGTGTAAGCATATGTAGCTACAGGATGTGGGAACAGGCACAGATTGAAATTCAGATTATGTTGGTAACTTGCTCTCTGAGCTTTTAGGAGTCAGTGCCTGTCGATTGGTCATCTATGAAAGAAGCTGCCTGTTGGGATGTTCAGTGTGTTTAGTCTTCCCTAAGAAGTGTCAAGTTTCTATTACTAACTGAGGAGCATCATTGTGTATTTACCAACATGTCTTTCCTCCTTGTGCCTAAAGACACTTCTGACAAAAGCAGATTAATCCTTCACACTTTCAAAATCTAATATAATCCTAAGTACTAAAAATGCATTTCTTCTGTCATTTGTTATCATTTAACCCAATCTAAGATAGCATCACTGTTATTTATTTGTTGTTGACATGGTCTTATATCATAGGCTGGCTGCAAACTCATTATGTGGCCAAGGATGTCTTCTAAATTCTGATCTACTCCCTCCCACGCCGTGAGTGCTGGGATTGCAGGGGAATATCGTTGTGTCTAGTTCTATGTGGTACTGATAAATGAACCCAGGCTTCATGGATGCTGGGCAAGCATGCTTCCAGCTGAGATACCAAACCATTCTCATACTCATTCTGAAGGCCTTTGTGTGGCCACGTGCCTTTTTTGATATTAATAAAATATTTACACTGAAGCATTTTCAGGTAAAAAGAAGTAATATCGTAGGCCCCCAGATCCAATTTGACATTAACTCTGCTAAGTATGAAGAGCTCTTTGGCATCTGTGTGATCGTACATATCCAGAATCAGCAAGAAACAGCCATATTCCATGAACTAAGCTGGGGCCATCAGGATCCCAGAAGCCTTCCCACTCCCAAGAAGCCAGCACTGTACACCATTTCCACCTAAACCCAGATTAGTGTTGGACACTGGTATTGCAGCCATTTCTGGGCGTCCCTCTGAGGGCCTCTCATCACCTGTGCATTCTGCTTCCCACACACACAGTAAAAAATCATATAACCAAAATAGAAAACCAGCCTCCTCCATGTCTATCTCCTTATCATAATTTAATTTTTTTTTAGAAAAGTAACTCTGGAAGACAAACTACTTAAAATCCGTTATTATAAATCAGTTCCCCTGAATATGTGTTCTGTTATGCTTAAAGACTTTGGAGAACAATTCAGTTCTTACACAAATGTGGATTCCTTCAAAAAATAATGGGGTGTATGACTCCTGGGAGTAAGAAGTAAGAGATGAATAAGAAAGAACAGGGGCCACACCCCCTAC